ACTTCTTCCCAGCAAACTCAGGCAGTTGGTGTAGAGCAGGCACAGATCCCAGCAAAACCCCGGGAGGAGCGGGGCTGCTCCCCCCAGCCCCATCCCCTGCTCCTTCCCACTCCACTACAGTGCCCCACGCCACCCCCCGCACAGGGCAGCCCCTCCAGAACGGCTCTTTTCTGGGGACAAGCATCACCGTGAGCAGTGAGCGGGCGTCGTACCGATGGGCACGAAGTGAAGCAGGACATGCTGCATCAGCCATTTCCAGCCCCAGGGTTCCGCCTCTCCCCCCTCAGCATCCTACACAGCCCATGGCATCGCATCTCCCCCCCCGGCATGGAGCACGCTCTGGCTGGCAGCACTGCTCCCGGGAGCGGAGCCACCGGAGCGGTAGCCCCGGGCAGCCGTAGGAGAGAAGCGGCTCATTTCCAGAGTCATTACGGTCTGAAAAGGGTCCCATCAGGTATTCCGCCCATTCAGCACATTTATTTTCCCAAACCACAGCGGGGATTTGTGATTCCAGGCTCAATATTAGTGAGAGCTGCGCGCTGGCGGTGCCCAGCCAGGAGCTCGCTGCCTGGACAGGCAAGAGGCCCTGCCAGGGAGCCCAGGGCAGTGAGTGGGCAGCCCCCAGCAGCCCCCCACTCCCCCAGTCGTAGCCATGTCTCCGAAGCAGAGCTGCTCGGTGTGTCACGCATGTGCGTGTGCAATGTTGGCAGCCTCTCCAGATTGACAAACATCCCACTGCCCATCCCCCCAAACACAGGAAGGTTCCCCTTTGTGCAAAGGGGTGTCTGCCCGCCCCCCTCTTCCCCCGCCATTCTTGCTGTCCAAAGCACCCTGAGATGGAGCACTTCAACCCAGGGACAAGCGCAGGCTGGAATGGGCTCTACACCACAGCTCTCCCCCAACCTGCTGCACACCCACCCCGGGGACCACTGAGCGATTCCCCCCCACCCCAGCTCCTGCCTGTGAGCACCTCTGGCACAGACCTGCCGGCAGCCTGCTCCAGTAGTGCAGAGCCCCACTGAGAATTCCCACGGAGGATCCTCTCTCCCTCTCCATGTGAAACTCGGAGGGAAACTCAAACAGAGAGAGATGCAAACTTCAGCAGCCGGAGCAAGCCAGAGAGCCCTGCTCCGGTGAGGCATGGCCAGGTGGGTGCCCCTGTACCAGCTGAGGTCCCCAGGGAAGTTGACCCAGGTGTGCACTCACCACAGTGAAATCACGAGAGGAGCAGTTCTCGCCACTGAAGTTGCAGCTCTTGAGCATGTCGTCAAGCTGGTGGCCGGTGCGGTTGACAATGTCAGCCATGTCGGGGTCAGGGTAGAGCAGGTCTGTGGCCTTGTGGCCATCCCGGTCCTTGGGGGGCAGCCCGGTCATGTTGGCCAAGTGGAAGATGTCGGCGTCAGTGAGCGCTGAGTGGCGGTAGCGGTTGATGTTGCAGATGGTGATGGCAGGGAAGACCATCTCACGAATGGCCCAAAGGGGTGTCTGCCCGCCCCCCTCTTCCCCCGCCATTCTTGCTGTCCAAAGCACCCTGAGATGGAGCACTTCAACCCAGGGACAAGCGCAGGCTGGAATGGGCTCTACACCACAGCTCTCCCCCAACCTGCTGCACACCCACCCCGGGGACCACTGAGCGATTCCCCCCCACCCCAGCTCCTGCCTGTGAGCACCTCTGGCACAGACCTGCCGGCAGCCTGCTCCAGTAGTGCAGAGCCCCACTGAGAATTCCCACGGAGGATCCTCTCTCCCTCTCCATGTGAAACTCGGAGGGAAACTCAAACAGAGAGAGATGCAAACTTCAGCAGCCGGAGCAAGCCAGAGAGCCCTGCTCCGGTGAGGCATGGCCAGGTGGGTGCCCCTGTACCAGCTGAGGTCCCCAGGGAAGTTGACCCAGGTGTGCACTCACCACAGTGAAATCACGAGAGGAGCAGTTCTCGCCACTGAAGTTGCAGCTCTTGAGCATGTCGTCAAGCTGGTGGCCGGTGCGGTTGACAATGTCAGCCATGTCGGGGTCAGGGTAGAGCAGGTCTGTGGCCTTGTGGCCATCCCGGTCCTTGGGGGGCAGCCCGGTCATGTTGGCCAAGTGGAAGATGTCGGCGTCAGTGAGCGCTGAGTGGCGGTAGCGGTTGATGTTGCAGATGGTGATGGCAGGGAAGACCATCTCACGTATGGCCTCCTCGTCCAGGGCCATGACGTGGGGGTGCTCCAGGTAAAGCAGAGCAGACTTGGCCGCCTGGTAAAGAAAGAAGGCGAGCGAGGCCACAAAGGCAAATGCCCAGAGGGTCTGGCGCACGCCCAGACGCCCCGACTGGCATATGTGTCCCAGGCCATGCAGGGTGCTGGCGCTGGCAAAGGCAGCCAGGTCCCGGGAGCGGGGCCGGGCGGGCTCCTCGATCAGGCTCTCCTTATCCCCTTCTTCTTTCTCCTTTTGCTTCTCATCCTCCTCGGCAAATTTGATTTTACACACGATTTCAATCGGCATCTGCCCCGCGTGGCTGGCGTGCCCAGCCAGCGAGCTGCCCCCTGGCACGGGCACCAGCTGAGAGCCCGGCCAGGCGCTGGGAGGGGGCTCGGGTCCCCCCCAAACCCCAGCACGGCGCCAGGAGGGCCGAGCCGTCTCGGGAGGGAAGCGCAGCCCCTCTCAGCAGCTCCGAGCCGCCGCTTCCCTCTTGTCTCACTAGTCGATCGTCTCCGTGTGCCTTCGCTTATCAGCACAAATACAGCTGTCAAAAACCCCCCTCTCTCCTCTCCCTCGCTCTGTCTCTCTGCCTCTCTCCTTCGCTCCTCTCTGGTTAAGACCCCAGCAGATACAGGCAGCATTTAAGCATCATGTGCTAATAAAATCCAGGGAATACTTAATAATTCAAGACATGTCAACATTATTTCATCGTCAAATAAAGAGCGAGCGCCAGAGAAAAGAAGCAGTGTGAAGGGCCCGGCGCCTCCGGGGCAGGGAGCTGGGCTGCGCCCCCCCCCCAGCCCCGGGTCCGAAAGTGCTGCCGGAGCCACTTGTTTGAATGGCTCGGGAGCTGCCGGAGCC